GACCCATATAGGAACCTTTGATATTTATAAATAGTATAAATATATTTACTGCAGAAAACTATTCACCTGCCACACATTTCACAATTCAACACGGCTGCTTTTGTATATTTCATGCATGTAAGTTTTATTTAATACATTTTTTGTCACAGAAAATATTTGATATTTTGTGAAAGACATCTAGATATAGCCTAAAATTTGAACGTTTAGGCTAAGGTTACCTTGACCTTGAAATCCATTACTAGTGCAAAAGAGAAACATGTCCAATACTATTAGCTAGCTTGCAGTCGACATATTTTATTTTATCTAATGTTAGATAGGTCAACAAAATAAAAGTTGCAATAGAAAGTTATATATATATATATATATATTGGCGCTGTTGGGCAGAAACCTACCCCGGGCAGTACATCCATATTAATTTTTATTTGTGGTCATAAATCAATGCTATCGGTCACATAAGCCGTCCCGTGTGGTGGCGTTCTGGTGCACTATGGCTGCTGTCGCATCATCCGGGTGGATGCTGCACATTGGTGGTGGGGAGATCCCCCCCTACAGTTGCACTACACTACAGTTCAATTTCAGTGTTATCGGTTATATGTGTGTTATACGTGACAAAGTGGCCAATAAACATATTTCAAGTGTTACAGTAAATGTGTTGATCTAAACAACTGTGACAATGGTTATTTTAACAAAAAGTTATTTATTCTTTTGTTTTATCACGCTTGCATAGATGGGTCATTTTAGACCCATGTGTATAAACTTGATGTATTTGCTCAAAACCTAGGAAATATTAAAATATGAATTTGTGATAATTGAAAACAAGATATTTTGAATATTCATAAATCATAGATCATGAAATATATAATGCTCAAATAAAGTGATTTCAAAAGGTGAAACAAAAAAATGCCGAGCCATACATGAAATAACATAGGAAATGAATACGGGTCTTTTTAGACCCATGTTGTGCATTAGAAGGGGTATCCATAGCTTGCGCATCAAAGGGTTAAATGAGTTAAATAAAGTCTTAAATGAACGTAAAGTGTTGTGAGAGAATGAGGCGCGTGTGAGATCCACGTCTCAGTCAGCAGCTGCTGGTTTCAAAGGGACAGCAGCCAATAAAGCTTTCTGTCAGTAAAGTTAATCATAGAACAAGGGGAATAGAGAAAATCACTCACTACTCTTGACTAAATAACTTTTGTAGCTTTAATAAGGATTAGTCTATATTTAATTTATAATTTATGCAGTGCAGACTGTTTGATAACTTTATTCAATTTCTGTATATGTCCTACCTGTTAGACAGGAAGGGTACAGTTTAATATGACATTTATCATGGATTTATGTGAGGATTATTTGAAGTTCACTTAAATTAAAAGTTGTTATTTTTTTGTAGTCTAATAAATGTAAAAAACTTGATAGATTTCAAAACACTGTAATATTGAATGGCTATAATTAATGTTTACAATTGGAGGGGGGATCATTTTTATCCAGACATCAATAGCTGTATTAGTATCAGATCTTTATACAGATGACATTAAACAAGTATTTACAATATTCTGTCTTTATGTTGTCTCTACATTAATTTGGAGATTAACTGTAAAATTATTACATTATAAAATATATAAACTAAATATAAACCTATAAAAACATAAGTGTTTAATTGCGATTAATCGCAGAAAAAATGTGTGATTAATTGAGTTATTTTTTTAACCGATTGACAGAATTAATTATAATCAGTCGGAGGAGTAAGAGGCTATCCAGCACCACCGCCAGGCATCACAGAGGAGGTCGCCCAGCTGGTGGAGGATAAATGGTAGTGCGTTTTGGGAACCGGCCCGAGATGTTTTTTCTTTTCCTCTCTCCCCACTCTAATCTCGGTTTCTCCTAAGCCTTTCATCTCCTTTTCTCTCGCCTCGTTTGTCCTTACCCCCAGGTACTGTGGCCGCCGTGACTGGCCGCCCGGAAGGGTGGGGGTTAGAGCGCAGTCTTGAGGGTAATGTGGCAAGCAGTGCGAGGCCGAGAGCCATGGGAACGGAACGAGGCCGGTGGCGCGAGTGTTAATGAGTGTTACTTTCGTTTTGTGTTTGTTTATTTATCATTAAAGTATGTTGAACGTTCAACTGTTCCCGCCTCCTCCTTTTCTGAACAAGTAACCTTGTTACATTGATCCTTATTAATTTAGTTTCAAATTCAGTTTCTGAATGTTATTTAGATATAAAAACATTTATGCTATTCATGATTAAATAACATCGTATTTAATGGAAACCGGTAGTTACGTGAGGCAAAAAAGGATAAACTGAAATTTAAGGCATTTCAACACAACTTCTGCTCACGTATTTGAAGGCCACATTAAGGGTAAACGTCACATTATGTGACTATGCTTTACTTTATGGAGAGCTTATGACCTACTAGCTACTGTACGTTCTGCCTTCAAAAAAATGGTGCAACCGAATAAAGTAGAGAGTTAGTTATAATATAGATGGTTGTTACTAAGCCTCTAGTGTGGACTTTACATTCCAATTTAAGAAAGAACTTGGAATGGCTGGTGCAACTCTACCTGAAGAGGGTCTGAACAATTCACACAGTGTAAATATACTTTCCTTTGGGGCGAATGAAGCCTGGTTTTGTGTCAGTGTTAAGCAAACATCCACAGCTTCACACCTGGAAGTTGCATAAAAACATTCGATCGGATCTTGCAATATTGCAAAGTGCCTGGCCTGCTATTTCTGTGTATTGCATTCATCAGAGTGTCACTGAATGGACTGTGAACAAAATGCTAGATTCGTGTCAAAGAGATTGCATTAACATGCAGTCACAGGATTTGTCCACATTCACTTGTCCATGGAATGTAAACCAAAATCATTCTGCCACATTACAAGTGTAAATCAATAGCTGTAGCCCTATTATTTCCTACCTATCAATGTTTCTGTCCATTAAAGCTGTTCATTAGCTAAACAGCCATAAAGATGTCTTTGTGTTGGTACCTTACAAAACATTCCCAATATGGTCAGCTTGCCCAACATCCTTTTTAACCAGTCAAATAGGGGGAAAATGGCAAAAATTCACCACATTCCTATCTGACGACCAGACGGGGCCAAAATGAACGCCACTATAGGCTTGATTTGCCCCACCTCAACACATTTAATTAGCTTTTCTCCCATCAGATTCCCTGGGAAAAGAAGGGGAAAAGGTAGTAGGCTAAATGACAGGTTGCTTTGTGAGATCGAGAGTACGGAAAGACTGGAAGCCAACTGTTAGATGCAGATGGTCTGAGTGTCAAGCCAGCACACAATGCACAGAGCAGTGCAGGAAGATAATAAACAAAGTAATGACACATAAGGAGAGAAAGCTGGAACGAGAAAAGCATAGGAAGAGATGAATGGATGCTAAAAGAGACAGAACAGAATGAGTGATCAACCCATCAGGGTGTACGAACTCTCAGCACATCTGCTCAGTGCCCACCGTGGGGTGAGCGGTCTGCATTCTCCTTAATCTCTGACACAAATCACAATTAGTTACTCTGATCTTTTAAAGGGCTGAGCTGAGAGCTTTTCGTCTAGAATGTAAGCAAATCAATACAATACATTATGCATGCTGGGCAGGCAATCTTACCAAGACCTGCCTTGAGCTAAATCTGGATTGGGACAGGATTTCAAGCATGCCCAACGCTTGCTTTCATACAAGAATACATTTACTAATCAAAACGATGAATTCTAAGTTCTTCAGTGACTGCTCACACGTTTAAGACTTTAAAAAGTTTGTGTTCAATAGCCGAAAGTAAAAGAGGCCGGAGTGAAGGAAAAAAAAGCATTGAAATCCCTTTATGCTCCAATGAACCCATATGAAATTTCCAGGGATAGGTCTTGATTAAGATGACAATCCCATCCATCTGGGACAGTGTGCAGGACATTTGGGAATTGGGAAGGAAACTATTCCTCAGAGCATATGGGGAACTTTCCATTAAAATGATCTCAGAATGGTTAAGCAGATTGTCTTTAATGGGTCTGGAAGAACATTTTATCGCTCAGATGTTGAGTTCATAGCTTAGGCGAGTTAATGGACTTTTCGGTTATGATTTACGTTCAATTTAATATAACACATATGTATTTATACATTTCCTTGCATGGTTGCCACATTTTAGTTATAATTACTAAAGAACTTCTATTATAAAAAATATGCTAGATTGCCGTTTGTTTAGCTGTTATGCTAGAGATAAACTGATTTAATTTGCAATATAAATGCAATATGTGATAACTTGTTAAATGCGATATTCCAGATGCGATATAATAATGCCTTAAGTGTGTAAAATCTATTTAAATAGTATTTAAACATATTTAAAAACGCATCTGGTCTGATCATATAACTAATATACTGTATGCGTTTCACATTTTTTTCTGGGAAAAGAAAGTATTCTGAAATTCTGAAAGGAACAGCAGTGTTTTAGCATTACATAAAAAGTAATGTCTCAAATTTGACAATGTAATATGAACATCAATGTAAACGAAGAAAAATAAACCTAATACCAATATTAAATACCAACAGCTCTTTGCTCAACTTGGTAATATATAGTTGTATCAACCTAGAACTTGACATCAAGAACATCCAGGTAAACAATAACACCTGAAACTAGGGGTTGATGATTAGTTTGTTTTTTCTCCGCATCAGCAGTTAAAAATAATAACAAATAGGCAAATTACAAACAATAGGACAAATACAATAAAACAAACATACAAATGAAAAAAAAAGAGCTCTAAGTTTGTATAGTCTAAATATATATATATATATATATATATATATATATATATATATATAGGCTGGCGAGTAATAAAATGGTGATTCTATTGCCAATGTGTGCGTTGAGGGTTGTCTGGGGAACCCAAGCAGGAGACTTGCTCTGCATTTTATCCAATAGCTGAGATATCCCTTGTCATTCCTACATGCATCTACAAGATTGAAACTGTATCAGCAGTAGCAGACCTCAAAACAGCAGTTGACCTCACACTTACCAATGTTCACCTCATCATCCGTTTCTGCATCACCAATGCACTCAAACTGGAACTCCTGTAAAGACTGGGAGAACTTCTGCACGGCTGCTGAGAGGTCTGAAACAGAGGAAGAGAGATTTATTTACCATGAATGTTCCGCAAGTGTAACGAAGTAAGGAATAATTGTCGACGGGCCGTTGAATTGTTAGAAAATAATGCACACCCGCGGTGGTAATGCGGCCACGACGCGAAGTGGAGTTATTAATGCAATTATTAAAGAGAGAGAAAGATATGTGAATTACCTAAACTTAGTCTGTGCATCTCTCAACAGTGTTCATATCTCACTACAGTGGCTCAACCTTAAGTTTATCAAGCGACGAGAATACTTTTTGTGCGCAAAAAAACTAACAAAAATAACGACTTTATTCAACCATTCATCTTCTTCTTTGTGGGCCTCAGAGTGAGTTCACATAGAGTAAAAGCGCAGCGCTACGTCAGAACATAGGCTCACTATTGGCCAGCATCACACTCATGACCTGCATCAGCCAATAGTGAGCCTATGTTCTGACGTAGCGCTGCGCTTTACTCTACGTGAACTGACTCGAGGCCCACAAAGAAGAAGATGAATGGTTGAATAAAGTCGTTATTTTTGTTTGTTTTTTGCACACAAAAAGTATTCTCGTTGCTTGATAAACTTAAGTTTGAGCCACTGTAATCACTTGGACTATTTTAACGATGTTTTTACTAACTTTTTTGGCCGGCAGGTTTCAATTACAATAGAAGCCTATGGAGGAGTGAGACAGCTCTCAGATTTAATAAAAAATAATCAAAATAATCAAAAACCTAACCCTAACCATTAATTTGTGTTCCGAAGATGAATGAAAGTCTTACGGGGTTGGAACAACATGAGGTTGAGTAATTACTGACAGAATTTTCATTTTTGGGTGAACTAACCCTTTAAGGGGCCATTCACACAAAATATGTTTTTCCATCCAATGCTACCATTGTTTTATGATGTAAACACGCTAGAAAGACGTCTTTAGCTGTTGACTTGCGTCTTGCATCTTTTGTAGCGCTCAAGTTAAAAGAAGTGCGACTTTTAAAAAACACGTTTCTAGACATTGCCCTTTTTTCATTCCACTGACCTGCATCTCACGTTTTTAACAGCAAAACCCATTCTGTGTAAAACCAGCCCTGACAGAACTATCATGGTGCATAAAAAAAATTCATGACATTCAAAGACTTTAAAAACACACAAAAGCTAACTTTGAGCTTAAATCAAACTAAAATCGATCCACTTTAGTCAAAGGTGTATCCTCTATCCAACATGAAGCTATGAGCCTGTAAAAAAAAAAAAAAAAAAAAAATCTTCACTCCCTGCTGAGAGTAAATGAGCTCTCATTTGGCGTGCTAAACGCACATCTCAGTCATGAAGAGTGGGCGGAAAGGACTTGATCAGGAAACGCTAAGCAACTCAATCAAAAAAGGTAATGAGACTGCAGAGAAAAGCCATTTCATCATGGCTTAAAGAGGTGATAGACCCGACTGCTCCACCAAATACCAACAAAAGCTATCTGACGAAGAAAACTCTGAAAAGGGTTTCTCATTACTTTCTCCTTAAATCTTATTTTTGGAAGAACGTAGGGTTGGAAAATGGCTCTTTCAAGCTTAAGAGCATAAGATTTGCCAAAAGAGCAATACGTAGGGATTCACAACGGGGCGGGGAGGAATACTAACTTTGCACTTTTGACTGTTGGTTTGATAAATTATTCATTGACATCTATCAAGAGAGGCCACAAGGATGCATTGCAAGGCTCATTACATAGACCAGCGCTAATACGCAGACTGTAACGGGATGCGATGAAGCTGAGAAGAGGCTGGATCCAAATGCAGTGTGGCTTTATTAAACAGGTGACGAACTCAGACAGGAACAGGATACAAGGACTCAGAAACAGGAATAACTAACGTTAACTTCAAACATTTAACAACTCACCAGGACAGGGCAAAAACACAGGGCTTAAATAATCCGGGACAAACGAGCTAGACAGGATAACAAGGGGGCGTGGTTAACAAGAAACACCTGGGATAACTAATGGACAAGACAAGGAACCACTAAACATGACAAGACACAAACCCACATCGTGACATAACCCCCCCCCCCCCCCCTTAAGGAGCGGCTTCCAGACGCTCAAAAGACGATCCAGGTGGGAGGTAAAGCGAAGGCGATCCTGGGGGAGGGATGGAGGGCCAGGCCCGTGCAGGGGAACGGGACCAGGACATAGCCACGACGGGCCTGGGCCGCAGAGCGAGGGTGACCAGGGCGGAGCAGGACGCGATGGCGGGCAGGGCGAAGCAGGACGTGATGGCGGCCATGGAGGTGAAGCCCCTGCAGACGACCATGGCGGCGCAGCCTTCATGGTCTCCTCACCGGACCCTTGCCCCCCCCCAAAAAAATACTTGGGGAAATCCACGGGTTCAGGAAAGCCCTCCCGGAGCTTGAAGGGCGCAGGCAGGGCGAGGCGCAGAGGCGGGGCCGGCAGGGCGAGGCGCAGAGGCGGGGCCGGCAGGGCGAGGCATCTGGGAACGCCCTCCGGAGCCTGGCGAGCCAAACGAGTCCTCCTCTTCCTTCTGCGACGGCGCTTCACTGGGCTTGAATCTTTCACTTGGCTGGATTCACTCACTTGGTTAGATTCGGCACTTGACTCACTTGTCTCGGCACTGGACTCACTTGACTCGGCTCTTGACTCACTTGACTTGGCACTTGACTCACTCGATTCACTTGACACGGCACTTGATTCACTTGACTTGGCACTTGACTCACTTGATTCATTCGGCTCGGCACTTGACTCGGGACTTGATTCGGGGCTAGATTCACTTGACTCGGGACTTGACTCACTTGACTTGGCACTTGACTCACTTGATTCATTCGGCTCGGCACTTGACTCGGGACTTGACTCGGGACTTGACTCAGGACTTGACTCCCTTGACTCGGCACTTGACTCCCTTGACTCGGCGGCACTTGACTCGTTCGCGCCGGCTGGCACGCGTTCAAACTCCGGTTCGGCCGGCGAAACCTCCGCCGCGGTCTCTGGATTAGCAAATTCAACAGAACCAGTGCGGAATACGGGCTCGAGGGGTCCGACACGAAGAGTGGGTTTGGCGGAGCAGACGTGCAGCGCGGGTTCGGCTGAGCAGACGTGAGGCGCGGGCTTGAGGAGCGCGGTCTCAGCTGGGCAGACGTGAATTGCAGGCTCTCGCCGCTTCTTCTCCTCCACGCCCACAGTAAATGATGAACCGCTCCAGAAGAGGGCCAGGTTGACATACCCCTCCAGGGTCCAGCTGGTACAGTCATCCGGCATTAACTGGGCAACGTCCTCGTCCAACCCGCTCCAAAACAAGTCCATGAGCTCGAGGTCGTCTAAAGCCCCCAGACGACAGCACGACATAAAGTCCCTCACGTACCTCTCGATGGACTGGCCTTCCTGAAATATCGAGGCAAGGAAACTTCTGAGGGCCTGGTTGCTGACAATGACTGGATCCATATTGTGGTGAGTTGTTCTGTAACGGGATGCGATGAAGCTGAGAAGAGGCTGGATCCAAATGCAGTGTGGCTTTATTAAATAGGTGCCGAACTCAGACAGGAACAGGATACAAGGACTCAGAAACAGGAATAACTAACGTTAACTTCAAACATTCAACAACTTACCAGGACAGGGCAAAAACACAGGGCTTAAATAATCCGGGACAAACGAGCTAGACAGGATAACAAGGGGGCGTGGTTAACAAGAAACACCTGGGATAACTAATGGACAAGACAGGGAATCACTAAACATGACAAGACACAAACCCACATCGTGACACAGACTGACACTGATCTGCTGCAACGGAGGCTTGTAATTCCAGAAAGATCAGAAAGTTCATTCCATATAATTCGCAGTCCTGTGGGTACTTTGCTTTTAGGTTCAATGCAAGTGTAATTTGGGGCATTATTGTTCACTTATAAAATATATCCATAGCATTTGACACTGAACACTTAAAAAGCTGAGAGGATAGAAAAGTGAACATAAGGTTGTATTTGTGGCCATTTTTCCTTGTGATTTGCTTAGTTTTTATCTGAATAATTTTCTTTTTTGTGTGTGCATCATACAGTTTCAGCAAAGTGTAATTTGTTCATTTTCTGCCCAATTTTTGACCTTACATGAAGGTCAAGAGTAGACAGAAATAACATTTCTGTAATGTCTGGCTCTTTGAGTCTCACGTATCAAACATACATAATGCAGTTTAGATCATACAGAGGTCACTATAGGGAGGACACAGAGAACACTGCGATCCCACATTTAGTAAACACTGGAACATTCCACTTCCAGAGTTCAATTCCAAAGGTTACAGATTATATATGAATAAATTAGCCATGATTCCTAACTAAAGAAAACAGTGCAGCAAAGGACAACAGGATGTGATGTGATTTTTCCCACACTCCATACAAACAACATCAGAGTACAATGTTACAGGCTAAGATCTTATAACATGAACCGTGTAACTATAGGGAAAAATGCAACAGAAGTGTAGAACATGACTCCTTTAAAGTTTCACTTACAATAGTTAGTCAATGTTTGTCATAAAGGTTAGAAATCTACAGTGAAATATACACTGAAATATAGATTTTTATGACCGTTTTCTTTCCTTTATCTGGCCTAAAGAATTAACAAGGCTGTACTATATCTGCTACCTTTCTAACCCCACATTTTGTAGTATAATCCGTGGTTTGTTATTCTCTTGCACCTTTATTTAACTGACTAAACTATGAAGAAACGATTTCCAATGTTTTTACTGGCCAACATAAGTGTATTTTGTATATAAACAAATTTTGATTTTGATGCAGCACACTCCAAATAAGTTGGGACAGAGGCAAAATAAAAGCGAAAAAAATATATAGAGAGAATATAGAATATCCAAGTTAAACATTTTGAAACAGTCTACAATGAACAGGTGAACTGGTAACATGGTATTGTGATTGGGTATAAATGAGCATCCTTTAAAGGCTCAGTCTTTGCAAGCAAAGATGGGTCATCACGGCTCACCACTTTGTGCCAAATTTCATGAAAGAATTGTCTAAC